TGATGGAACGCAATAATGCGGAAACCGCCCCGCATACTTCGTCCCGCCAGACTTCATTCGCGCGGCCATTGAGCCAGGGACTCTGACCCCTGATCGGATGTTCTGGCTTGCTTTCTGATGGGCCTGTATTCGCATGGCTCTGGCTTGACTCCCGAACGTCAAGTCACGTGGCCAAGTGAAGGGTCTTCCAGAGGTTGCAAGAAGGAAAAGACAGATAAATAGGGAGTTTTATTCTTACGAGAATGTGTTGTCCGATCGCATGCTGCCGGCTAGTCATACGTGATACCGGCACCGTAGGTTTGAGTTCGGTTGAGGTGCCACCCGCTTAGTGACAGGTTCATGTGCTTGCTTCGGCCCATCTTGGACGACTTGGTCGACACTTGCGTCGCGGTTTCAAAGAAGTAGGCGACAAGCTTGAGGAACAGGCACTGGTTGGACCATCGTGTTTTGTCAACCCTTTGCAATGTTGCTGCCACCGCCATGACGAATGCAGCGACTTCATTCTGCCTCCGGCCGGACGAACCATAGACGCCAAATCCAAGAATGTCGAGACCGGACAAGGTGTGGGGGCGAAGGTACATGTCACCAACTTCGGCAAATGCGCACGCTATCCCTTGGCATGTGCAACTGCCTTTTCGTGAAGTGGCAATCGCGCGGAACAGAGCTCGACGAAACCCACGGAAAGATGCGTACGTTTTGGACACATAATATCGGCTTCCTTGGCCAAATGCCGCCAGCGACGCATTGAGGACGAACTCGGGTGATCGGGACGACCCTGAGATGTGGGAGAGCATGATGTTGAAGTCATGGAGCCGGGATGCGTCAAACCATGACGGTTCTGAGGGTGCCAGGAATCGGATCAACGACGCGGACGAGGCCGACGAGCTCGTTGTCTCGGACATGTCGTTGCGCATCATGGAGCTGCTGGACGCCAAAGCAATTGTGCGATGCTGGTGCGCGTTAAGACCATGTGCATCTTTCCAACAGCCGCAGGAATTATAAAAAGTTAACATAAAGAACCAAGTATAATGTGAATAAAAATACTCCGACACAGACCGAATGTACATGCTGTTTGTTACACGCATCTGTTACACCAACCTCATCCACTCCCGGATAATTTTTATCCGGAATTGCTGCATTATTTTACACATTGGGCACGGTCGCAAAACAGTTGAACGGCAAGCACGGGGGAGAGCGGAGCAACACGGGTAAAATGCGCGCCTTGTTGCAAGCATGTAAGGCGGATGCGATGTACGCCGTCACTGATCACGGCTACACATCACGCGACAAATGCGACGCTGAAACTCACGTTGTGTGGTGCGCGCAGGGAAGTCGTGTCCAAATCCGAGGATGTGTTGACTCCATAGACCCCGCCTTTCGAACGGGTGAAAGAGGTGGGAAGCTTGGGGCATAATGTTCGATACCTCCTCCTCGGCAACGCATATGTTATTCGCTCGCGATGTAAGGACATGCTGTGCAACCTCCTCAGTGCAGGAGATTCCAACGCCATACACAGACTCGCATCACATCACCGCACATGTCGTCACCATGTGAATTTTGATTGATTTGATAACATTCAAACGGAATTGAATAATAACATCTCAAGTACATGAAAATCAACAGAAGTCGTATTTCGAAAAAACGCGCGAAGATACGACATGGACCGAACGGCGGAACGCGTGAACCTCTCGCGGGAAATGGTGTTCTTTCTTGGAAATCGATGCACATGTGCGACGAATGACTTATCGCTGTGTAGGTGATGCATCGCATTGAGCTGGCGGCGACAACGTTTCTTGAGAACTTGATGGTTTGACCCCTACCGTGCCATGTTAGCCATTCTTGGGTTGTTTCTGCTCTTAGATGGACAAGCTGACGTCACTTCAAACAGTACGACGTTCTTCCTTCGCGACATGGTCTAAACGATGGTCTAAACAATGCATATAGATGCGTCGGAACTCCAGTGCAGTGGTGTTCGACACTGAGTCGAACGTGCTTTCCCATGGGGGGAACATGCGCACCATTCGATTGGTACACGGCATTTCCGCGCGCGTCATTTCACATCCTTCAAGAACCCCCAGGGAGCTCGAAAATACACAGGCGTGTGGCTTGTTCTTCAGACTGTGCATCAACTGCTCCTGGAAGATAAAACGATCACCCAACGAGAATTGTACTACATGCATCCGTTCTTCGAGTCCCAGAAAGAAGCTGATGAATGCATCTTGGGTATGCAATGGTTCAGTTTGTTATTCATGTGCTTACTCGTTGGTATTAGATGCTGGAGGCTTTCTTGGTGTTCCCCGTGAGTGTTTGAATATTGTCGGAGGTGTCAAAGGAGCGTTTACAGGCCGCATATCCATCAAAGTCGCCGCAAACCATAAACTGCATACTTACACACCCATGTAGGAAAATGGTCAATGGGTGGATTGCTCCAAGGATGGCCCAAGTGGACGTCCCATCACTCGCGATATCCTTCGCTTGGAACACGATGACATGTGATATGATGCATTTGTCTATGGCCCTGAACTTATGATGTAATGTGTAGCGATAGCGATGCAAAATTCATCCTCGTGATTGAAAAAGATGGTAAAGCACGATCAATATGACGTACTCGTCTCGAGTTATGCATTACATTTTCACCACTGCTAGGAATCTTCAACCGTCTGAGGTAACCAAGGCACTCAACTCGTCGTCACGGCGTCCTGTAGCGAAGATTTGTTCTTTGACAACCTGCCGTGCATCTTGATAACTGGCAAAGGATTCCCCGATTTAGCCACCCGATGTTTCGTGAAAAAGCTGGGTGACGTCCTCCAAGTCCCTATTCTGGGTTTGTGCGATTGCAACGCGTTTGGTCTTTCCATATTGGTTCGCTGTTTGAATTCTCCCAATGTTGCACCCATGATTTACTTCGATGGTAGCTTACGTACAAGCTTGGATCTGCACGAATGCCACTCGACTCTATTCATTACGGTGAGGGGCAATCTTGCAAAATGCGTGACATGGCGTAGCCGTGGACATTCAATGGATTGGATTGAGGCCATCCCAAGTCGAAGCGCTCGCGTTACCGAACGTGGTCAAGAAGAAATGCACCAAGCAGGACAAGCTTCGAACGAAGTCGTTGTTGCTCCATCCATTCATTCAAGTACGACTTTAGATTCGTATGGTTTTTGAGGCCAACCACGCCATTGCTGCTGTGGTCCATAGATGCACCCAAATTACCAAGTGGAAATCGAGTTGTGGCTGTCGGACCCGTTCAAAGTCGAACTCGAGGCGCTGCACACGAATGGATTTGGGTTTCTCGGCCAATTCGTACTCGACGCGATCATGAACGCAGACTACTTCTAGCAGCCGCATAGAGTGGCTACATCCCCAGTTCCAGAGTTGCGCTGAACTCGTCCTCGATGAACGACAGCATTTTGGCCGACTATTCGATCTCTAGTCAGTCGAGAAATCGGTACATTTGCTCACCTCCAAATGAATCTTTTGCCGCTTCAATACATCGATCAAGTGGATCTGTTGTTTGAACGCTGCAATCAACTCAGCCTACAGAACCACGATCGAACCTTTGTCGATTGTCCAGATGACTCCACCTTATGCTTCTCCAGTCGCTGGTGCTCGTTGAGAAGCCGTTCATGTTCGTGTCTTGGCACCGCCAAGCCTCCTTGGTTGGTCTTTTCATCCTCAAGCTCCTTCTTCAACGCTCGCAGTTCCTCCGTGCCTTCGTTCAACCGCACCTACCCACCATCCAATGCCACTTTCGACACACGGTCAAGCGGTGAAGGTTCTGCTCGGACCTCGGCCACTTTAGCTGTCCGAACCAAGTGCTTTTCATTTTTTCGCGTGTTTGCCACTTGCGCTTTTGCCGACGCAATCTATACAGAACCATGCCGTCAAGCAAGGTTGCTATCCAAGTCGTCGTCGATTTACTCACGTCGGTCTCAAGCATGCGTTGCTTGGCCTCTTGAATGCCCCTTTACGAAACACCGCTCCCGTCAAATCGCAGGTGGCAATTACGTAGACGTACTGGAGGCTTTTATTCTTGTCGAGTAGGGCTTGCATTTGCTCAACTTGTTCGGTCAAGGCGGCGTGATCCAGTCGCATACGCTCGACCTCGTCGGCCGTGGCGTCGTGTTTGGCTTGCTGTCGATGCGACTGAGATATCTAGCTGGTCGATCGATCACGTACGAGTTTCGTGCGTGTCTCCGACAACGACGCCAGTTCATCTTGGAGAATTCGAATTTGAGCTTTTTGGTACCGGAAAGTGGCGTCTCGCTGGAGCACGGCCATGCTTTGGTCGTCGAGAACGTTGTCGCTGGCTTCGTTGTTCATCGTTGTCTGACGGCGAAGAGAATTGTTGGTACCATGCCTCATGAGCGAGATGGTCGAAGCATCCTGCGGACGAGATAACGTCGTGGCGCCTAGTTTCTGTCTGGGTTGGACGGAAACGCTAGGCTTTCGACCAGGAATGTCGTCGTCTCCAGCCTCTTCTGCGATCACGCTTTGCCTTCGGCCACTCGAAGGGGAACCAAGCATGTCGTCGCGACCTACAACACACGGTACGTCATGCTTGACGATGTTTAACACCGCGAGAGACCCACGCCAGAGTAATCAAGACGCGGGCCGCTTAAACAAGACCTTCCGTCGTGTAAAGTTCTCATGAAACGTCCTCCAGTTTCACGCTCGCCCCAAGGATTGGGCTGCCATGCACGTGCAAGAATTGTACCCTCGGATGTCTTGAACCAGCCGCAGCTTTCCCTTGGACCACGGGCCGCCATTTCCTGCTGTGTGCCCAAGGAATACACGAGCTGGAACAACTGAACGGACTTCTCACAGTTGTGCGCTATTCAGAGTTATCGCTTTTCATGGTGAAGCAATTCACCCTTTTGCTGACATGGTGGTTGGGGGCACACTCACACTTTTGTCATTGACAACATGTTCACGAGGTGAGAATATTGACAACATGTTCACGAGGTGAGTATGCATCTTCCTCCACGAGCACGACAAATCACCCAAAAACCAATACTACGTTAGCTTCCCCCGCGTGGATCGAATCGTCCCATGTTCATTGTATGCAACAGTACAATTATGCGATATATCTGTTCTTGCCACGGACGCGGCCTCAACCAACTGCGCGATAACGAGGCAGGCCGAAACGAGCCAGCCACCACAAGTGTCCTGGCCGAACCTCGAGCTGGATGGATTCCAGGCTGTGGTAGTCTTCCTTCGAGCGGGCGGCCATTGACCAAGTGCTACTTGTCAAGCAGGTTCACCTCAAGCATGGCATTGCGCATTGCGTACGAAAGTGCTGTCACCCGATGGGGTCTACCCAGGTACGGGGACCGATTTTGGAACTGACGCGACCACGTGCACGCATTCAAAAAGCACACGTAAAAATCCACACCTGATCGGAGTGTCCCTGCCTCTAGACGGGTGTCCGCTCACGGCCAAAAAGCCAGTCTCGTGAGATATTCCACATCATGCACTTCCTACATCACAAGCAGTAGCTCCCACGATCCACTTGGAAAGCAATGCGTCATCACACAATGCGACGGGACGGCCGGCCGCTTCGGTGGAGGCGACAGCGACGGTTCTACCGGGCGGGCTATGACGGCCGCAACATGCTTCGTCACGATTGCGCCGACCAAACGAGTCGTTCCAACGATGCCATGTGCTTGATGCGAACGGTATGCAGCAGCTGCAAAGCGCCACGTATCTTGGAACGACTTTGGGTATAATTTCACCATGTGCCCATCGACCGACGTTTCGAACTTCCGAAAGAGATTGCGTCGAGCGTAGTGCTCAGAGGAAAGTTTCGAGGTCTCTCGGCGTGTCAGCATTGCATGCGACACAATGAGCTCGTGCTCTACACCGCCGACAGACCGGCATACGAACGAGCCAAGACAGAGCGTCCTCGCTCTTGGCGCGACCATAGGGGGCTGCACCAACCAGCCGGGCAACCATCAGGCTCAGAGCATCTTGCTTCCAACATTCACGTCAAGCGCCTGTCATGCATGATTTTCAACAGGTCGCGTCGCTTGTTTCGCATCCAAGCATAATGTAAACTCGCGTTGGGTCCATGTATGTCGTGTAGTTGGCGCGGGTGTGCCAACATCCCCGAGTCCGCCCACTCATGTCGACGACCTCAGGACGAGCAATATAGCTTTTGCCACAACCTGCCTGCAGAAAGCCACGTGAGATGATGATTGTTGCCATGCTTGTCCGGGCCCTCCACGATTTCGTCTGTTCAGAGCACACTCTCGGTCCTGCATCTCCCTCAGCCGTAGAGATGCGAGTGCCGGCGTCAGCATCGAAGCGTTTCCGTGTTCGAAAAAGCATTAATCTATTGGAAAATAACTGGACATTTTCGAAGCCAGGTCATGAAATATCGAATTTCGAGGAGCAACTCAGCATTGGGTGCTCGGCGCGCAATAAAATTGTTGCGGTCGAGGTATCACTGGTCTTTTGTATATAATATAAAAATCATGGCGCTACCGGATTTCTTGCTGGATCTCGCCTCTGGGCACTGTCTCGATGGATTTCCCAGCCGACGCCCGGCCCATTTCGACATTCTCCATGGTTGAGTCGGTGACTAGATCACGGATGTTGTCCCTGCCGCCGCTCCAGCAAGTCACACCGCAATGGCTTTTCAATCGATTGCAGACGCAGGGAGGCCTCACCCTCGTCGACACGCGCGGGTTTAAGTGCTACGAGCACAGTCACATCTGGTCGTTTATCAACTTGCCGCAGCCGTTGCAGACCGCCTCCGCTTCAACGCCCATCTTCCTCTCGTCGTTGGACGGCGTGTGCCCCTTGCCCGACTCTGCCCAACGATCGTGGAACAAACGCAAGCTCACAGACGTCATCGTGTATGACCACTTTGGCATGTACACGCCGTCGTCATGGTCCATGCACCTCGCGACGCTCTTGGTTCAAGAACGCATCGTCACTTCCGTTAAGTTACTTCGAGGAGGCATGCAAGCGTTTCAGCGCGACTACCCTTTCATGATCACAGGACGCAAGGACTCGCATCCAGTGCCTGCGCTATCAACTCCTGTCAAGACAACAGTCGTCGTCGACACATTACCTCGAATTGATCGAACCGCCGACGAAACCTCCCAGGCGACGACGACCCATGCCCTCACGTTTCCGAACGACATCGTGCCAGGGTTCCTGTATCTCGGCAACGTGTGGCAAGCATCCCAGCCAGAGATACTCCGCAAAATGGGCATCACACACGTCCTCTCTGTGTGCGAGATCGCTCCTTCCAACCCAATGCCGCGCATCACGTACATGACGGTGTCCCCATCATCACTTTACGAATCGTTTGATCGCTGCTACGTGTTTCTGAAGAAGGCGCGCAAAACTGGTGGCAAGGTCTTGATCAACTGCGTCAGCGGCGTGTCTGCGTCTCCAACGCTCGCAGTGTACTACCTCATGCGTTCCGAGCGCATCTCCCTCGTTCAAGCGTACAACGACGTCTTGGCATGCCGTCCGCTCATGTTTCCCAGCGTTGCATGCATGTTTATGCTCGTCGAATCCGAGTTGTGCCGATGCGGTGTCGCGAGCATCCAGAGCACGGAAGCGATGGACGCGCTTCAGAGTGGCGCACTCAACGACGACAGGCCGTGGCAGCCGCAAGTGAAGTTATCCACGCAGCTTTCCATGTTTTTCCTCGGTCGGTGCAACGATCGGTACGTCCAGGATAACATGGCGCTGTTGTTTGGCGACCGAGTGACCCGGCAGTCGTCTTGCGTGCTGGGGCAATAGATGAAGTTTTTTATTTAACACGCCAAGTAATATTTATAGTACTACTGTACCTCTGTTCCATATTACTGGCGACATTTGAAAATCACACTTTTTCCAATTTACTGGCGACATTTAATTCTTATTGGCTAGAAATGATGCATACATCGATTTTATTTAATAAAATTCCCGAGTTTGCTGGACAATCGACAGCGGCTCACCGCCGCATAGCTGCTTCGATAGAGCTGTGGATATGCGCTTCCAAGAGGAAACGCTGCGGGATGCGATAAGCAATTAGCAATTAGTGACTAGGACTCTCAAATGTGGAGTATAGTTGAGACGCCAACCCAATCTGGCGGGTGCGTCGGACGTCGTCCAACTTCGCTCCTGTACAGTATGGTAGCAATAGTATACAAGTCCGTTCCTTTTTGGAGCCTGGTCTGCGAACGAATTGTTCCTGCTTTTCGCCATTCCTGCTTTTGCAAAATCAGTTTGATTGGCTACAATTA